GGTAGACGATGGAGCAGTGGCTGGAAGATGGGGGCATCTGTTTTAGCAAATGAACTCTTGGTTCGGTTCTGGAGACCTACAGACTACATGTGATGTTTAGAATCATAAAGCTTAAACTGAATCAGTTATGCAAATATAATCAGCTTCAACTATAGAACACTGTTGTGCTGCAGCGACAGTCAGGTTGTTTTTAAGCTTTTCATTTTATTTAATACACACTCACACACGTACCATTTTGTAGAAATATACCGGCAGCACTTTAATTAAGTGTACATCAATACCTGTATGCATTTGTTTATATTTGAGGTTTAAAGTAAATACAGTACATATATATATTTATTTTGAATCACTTGGACGTTGGTTGAGGGAGGAGAACTGTGCAGAAATCATGATGTGAGATGTTTAAGTGTAAGAGAACTCCATGTTTCATATGTAAATACAGGAATGTCATCAGTTTAATTTGATATAAGTTTGCAATTATCTAAAAATAATACATGAGAATATGATAAACTGAAGACAATTATTACCTTTGAAGTGGACAAACATGCTTAAAACTGACACACACACACACACGTCGTCCCGTCACTTCACAAAATAAAATCAGAAGTGGAAACAGCAGCGCGTCAAACTGACAATGACACGTTTAAAATGTTGAAGTTATTTGTTCCATCATCTCCTCCAACAGTTCTACATTTTTGACGCTCCAGTTGTTTGAGGATAGACATCCTCTTCACATTCTCTGTGCCACACACACACACACACACACACACACACACACACACACACACACACCTTTCCGTTTCACCCCTCTCTGAACCCGTTCTCCGTTGACCGTGCAGAAAGCTAAATAAACATGTGCGGCGAGTCATTCCCAGAGTGGCCCACTACCAGCACCAGCGCTCGCCCACCGCCTCACCACCACCCTCCTCACCGCCCTCCTGCTCCCCCACCCAGCCCCACTCTCCTACACTCAGGTTTCACCTCTCAGCTTCCTGCTGCTCCCAGTCACGCTGACACACACTCTTACACTCAACCTATTGACTGTAGGCAGAGCGGCGGGTGAAAAGGTGCTTTTCTTTGCTAAAGTGAAAGCAGAAATAACCTCATTTAAGAAATGCTCCCATTATGAGAAATACTTAGATGCATACTTAGAGTAAAAAAAAAAAAGCGGTGACGGGGAAATTAAATCTTGGAAAATAAAAGTTTCAGTCTGCAGAGGGGTCATTTTAAAAGGTTTATCTGGCTGTATTATAGCAGTACTGTATAAATAAAACACACCAGAGTCATGTTGATAATGCAGTTAATTGAGTTTATTGCTAATGACTACATAGCGACGGGCTTTTCATATATGACAGTAAATCATATTTGATAAGGTACTTTTTGTATCTGCAGCTGTCATATAACTGTTGTGGCATGAAAAGCACAAAACTTAGCAAGTTAAATACCTGGAATTTAGGAGCAGCATCATTTTTTCTTGAACCTAATCAGCCTTTACAGTGACATGCATGAAGCTGCACTGGAAGCCATCACTGCTCCTCCTTTGTAGCTTTTCTGCCTACGTGTGACTTCACATGAATCTCGTTGAAGGTAAATGTTCTTTGAACGTGTGCAGAAGCGTCCACGTCCACACGGAGCCACTGGTCGTGTTCTCTTTCAGGGTCAGCTCCAACTCAAGGGTGAGAATTTCACGTCTCATACCTGAGAGTCGAAGCTGAGGGATATTTTAGGATCATTTAAAGGCTTGTCGTGCACATCCTGCAAAATGCAATGTGTCTATCTGTGTGTGTCTATAGATAGATGGATGGATGGATGGATGGATAAATAGATCTTTTAGAACCCCTGCAGTCATTCAAACCTCCACACTAATCCCGTCTCTGTCCCTCTCTGGCAGAGCTTCGGTGGCAGGATTACTTTCTGTCAGCAGTGTGACAGCTGTGTACATCTGGCTGTGTTGGGGCCTCTTACATCTCAATCCACACGTCGTTTCGTCGGTGTCTGGGCCTCCGGACTCGCTGCCACTGCTCACCTCATTACCGGCCGAGCCACACCTCCGCCTCTACGCCGACTATCTAAATCCTCGCTGCAGATCGGTGGGGGGGAGGAGGAGGAGAGGGGAAATCAGATCCTGGAGGAAGAGTTTGTGCATGGCACATGAGGCTGTAGTAATGATCTCCAGGGCCGTGTGGCGGTGGCGGTGAGGGGGTGGAGGGTGCGGCGGCGGCTGGTTCTCGGGTTGTGGATTGTGGCGGCGTGTTGGGGGGCTTGTGACCACTGTGCTCTGTGCATGTGTGTGTTGAGGGAGACAAGCAGAAACAGAGAAGGATGTCATCATGTGATCTGCACTGAAATCTGAAAGTTTCTGCTCCTCACAGGGTGGAGGTCAGCTGGACGCTTCCCCTCAATGACTGTCTTGAACTTTAAAGGATGATGATATTCTGCTATCGATGCGTCGTCTGTGCAGACCTCACATACTTGACTCCCGCGTGCCACAGAGCTCCGCTGTTGGCCAAAACTATTAAAAACACATCAGTGAGTCACTGTGTTGCGCTGAGTCACATGTTCCTTCATTACCATGAAGACACACACAGTAGTTTTGATTCAGTTCCACAAACGTCATCCCGCTGCAGCACTGGATGTGGAATCGTCGTCCCCGGTTGCTTTATTTGCTCCTGCACTCAAAACACAGTCACCAGTTGTTCCAGGAATTTCTACGGCCTTTTGGTAAAAAAAGACAAATGTACGTTTACAATCTGCTTCTTACATGTGCTGTGTTTCTTTTTTACATCTTCTTGGGAGCCAGTAAACTTGAGGTGCAGAACTGCGTGAACCTACAGTGTAAAATATTACCAGAATTACCCTTCAGCTACTTTTTATATATTATAATATGCGAAGCCCGTTCCGCTGCAGTAGATGTTTGGTTGTCAGGGTTGAGTCACTTTGCTGAAATGGTTAAAGTCAGAACGACACATTGGCCCTTCGCCTTCGAGCATTTAGTCCACAGTGACTTCATGCCTGCTTTTATTATTTTCCAAGTGTCGACTATTTCTATCTATAACTCCTCCAGAAACAAATCTGCATCAAAGGGGACGAACAGTACTTGCCTAAATCCTGCAAAAATACCCACTTAGTACCACTAATAAGAGTAGTTTTGATTTCTAGCATAAAAATATGAGTTGGGTAAAGCGACACGCTGTCCTGACAGCAGAACTCCACCTCTGCTCGTGTGCTCACTACATTATAAATTGATCACATTTTATATTCCACAGGGCCTGAATAAACAACAACAAATCAAACACGTGTGTGAATTCCCAGCAGCTTTTTATAATTTAATGTGAAGAATTTGTTGACAAACAGGATTAAAATATAATTGACACGCCTAAGCATTTATTGCTTTTTCGGAAATGTTTTAAACCTCTCTGTATTAATCCGACAAATCTGCAAATGTCTATGTCGAGCGCTTCCTTTCAGGGTTACTCATCCTCAGCTTTTCTTCATTTCTCCACATTAGCCTTTGCTGATAGACATCACTCGGTCTTTAGTCAAGGCTGGATGTGACTGTGAGGCACTGTTAACATGTGGTTCGGCTTTGTGTGTCAGCAATTGACTCAGCTTTGAAGCATTGAGAGTGCAAATTAGTAAAAATCTCTACTGTTCAAGGGCAGTTTGAACTGTTGTTTCTGCAGTTTTATCGGTTTTTACTCGCAACGCTTTGTGTCAGTTTATGACCGATGTGCAAGAGAAGAAGAACGCTGCAACATATCCAGAAGATAATTCACGATTTGTGTAAAAATGTTGGTTTGTACCTCCTCTTTTGTCAATATTTGAAAGCACACATCTTTAATCTCGCAAAATCATCAACAAATGACTTATTTCACTTCTTGACTTCGTCCAATAGCAGTCAATGAAAATCTGCAGTGTTTCTAACATGACAGCATTTCTTATTAATTTATCATTAAAGTCTATATTTTGAAGGCATTGTAATGTAATATTTAGATGTTCTGAAGAATATATGTGGGATCCAGCAGATATCATGTGTGTATAAAGTTTAATACCTTTTTTGTTTTTCATCAAACAGTTCATTATATTATTGAATTTAAATGGGCCAAAGTTTAACATGAACTGAGAATTTTTTCCCAGAGATCCATCTTTACATAGGAAAATTTGTAAGTCGAGTGTGTTGCTTATCATCCAGACAGATTATACAGTTATCAGCTAATTCAGGGACGCACTGTAATGACAAGTTAGGAATGTGTGTAGGCTACACGGAGTTAAACCACAAAGACGATAACGGAGACAGGGCTGTGGGACTCGGCTGGAAACATAGAACATGTCTGAATGTGCGTTAGCTTTCACTGTCCTCACTGAGGGCAGGAGTAATATTTTAGCCCCACTGGTGATGTTATTTATGGGCCAGTGCAGGTTTTCAGGATATCTGGTACTATAGTGCCACCTGGTGATCAAAAGACGCTTTACATTTGATTAAAAATAATATTTTGTAATGTCATTACAACACTGTTTATTTGTAGGTTAGTAAAAAAGACATTAATAAGCCCACTGATGATATATTTAAACAGATTTTGTCCGTTTTGGTTGATATTTTAAGACAGATATTTCAACACTAACATGTAATTGTTGCTTAACTTAGGCTGCTGTTTGTTCTTTTTTTGGTGTCCTTGTTTGAACTATTGAAAATGATAAGAGATGTTTGCATTTCTTTTGTAATTAAGGGATTTCTGCTCAGAAAAAGGAGCCACGGATAAAAAACAACAACAACAAAAAGCAAAAACAAAAGACAAGCACTAAAAACGTTACCTGTTTCTTATAATAGGCTGCTTGTTTTTTATTTTCAGTCTGCAGCCTGATCTAATTGACAATCATACCCCTTTCAATAAAAAATAAGGATATTAAATACAGAATACATTTAACACAAACTACATATCCCATGACCACTTGGCTGCTCGACTGTAAGGTCAAACGTCATGTCGCGTAAGTGACGTAATAACAAAGATGGCGGCGCTTGGTACAGCACGGTGCTTATTCCGGAGCTACTCACGAGTGAAAAATGTGCAGAGAAGCAAGCAAGTGTTGATGAAATGTAGCGTCCGGACGTTTTGTAGTGAAACACAAGACCACGGTATGTTTTTGCCACTGTGAATATCATTTTATTTGAATTAATCACTCGGTTGTGACGCTGACCTTGTAGCTAGTGTCGTTAGCCTCAAGCGTTACAGTGCGGTTCAAAACCCATAACAAATGTTGGCAGATTAAACTTGTTTTACGGATTGGCACAGTTACACAGCTTGTAAAGAAACGGTTAATACATTTTTCAAGCCATTAAATTATGTCCAGCAGTTCGGCATTACAATAGCTGTGTGTAGAAATCTAAAAATAGAATTCACAGCATCCCCAGTCATGACTTTGCTCACTTGTTCAGTAGCCTGCTTTGATAAAAGTAGAGGACAGAAAATGCATTCCAGGTAACTGCTAAAGTTAAGCTATAATCATATGAACGGTTGGTTTGTATATCAGATGCATGCAGAGCTGTATGAATTTGGAAAAGTAGTGCTTCTGCAGGGTTTACCTGTGAGTAAGGTATCTTCAGAGTTTGGTTTCATTTGATGTACAGCTGAATGACTTGTTGGGAAAAATCTGCTTATTTTTGTGTGCACTAGCTAGACCACATGCATCACCATTAATATTTTTAACAGCATAAATACTAAGCAGTTATCTTAAGCTGCGAGTCTGTTTAATTGAATATAAAGTAAAGTAATAACAATATAAGATTAAATCATTCCAAAAAGTAAATAACAGCACCTTCTGTAAACAAATAAATTAGTCATTCATGGCTTAGGAGCAGCATCCACGTCCTGCACGTTCAATAGTTAAAGATAATAATAATAATAATAATAGTAAAAAAAAAAAAAAGTCCATTGTCAATTGTGGTGTTTAATGTAGATCCTATATAACAGTTTTTGCAATATACTGTTTACCTTGTTCCAAACTGTGATTTTACTTTGTGATCAGTTGATTGTTAATTCCCAACCCTAACCCTAACCCTAACACTTGTAGGACAATATGTGAAGCTAGCTCTGTTACCATTACATTTCAGAGTAAATCTTAAAGTGTTCCTAACAATATTACTCAGCCTGAAATAAGTCGTATACTTTATACAACTGAAGCCTTATATACCTTAAACTTATAATTTTCTTCAATAAATGCTTATATAAATATTCTTCTTCTTCTTCACTGAGCACTTTTGCACTTGACAGACTGAAAACAAAAAAAAAAATTCCAGATTGTTTTCTCCTGACTAGATCCTTGCTTGTTTTGCATCTACTCTCAGAAGTGTCTGCTAAATGAAGTTGTAGAATCGTAGGAATATGTACAGACCATTGTACATTGTTTGTTTGAGCCATTAACTCGTGTATCTTTCCCTGCAGCCCTCACAGACAATGCAAAGCCCCACTTCACGGATCCAGCTGTGCAGGACATCCTCACCAGGATAACAGGCCTGGATCTACAGAAAGTGTTCCGACCCATTAAGCAGGAGCTGAAGCCGCCCACGTATAAACTCATGACGGACGAACAACTGGAGCAGGTGCCCTGTAGATGAACTGTAATGGCTCCTTTCAATCACGCACCCACATCGCTGTAACACCTGTTTCATCCAATCCTGTGTGTGTGTGTGTGTGTGTGTGTGTGTTTCCAGGCTGTTGAGCTCGCAGCAGAGCAAGCTAAGAAGCTGCTGCAGATGCCCCCCGTCCTGCCGGAGAGGAAGCCCATCAGTGATGTGCTGTCTGAGGATAAAATGCTCGATGGCATGGACACAGCCAAATATGTTTTCACAGACATCACCTACGAAATCCCACACAGGGTATGCTGCTTTGCTCTGTGTGCAAGTGTGTAACTCAGGTTAATGCTGGTTACATCCTGATATACGCCCCAGCATCGCTAATGGGTTGATGCTCTGATGTTTTTATTATACATTATATTTTGGAGGCATCAGCCTTTCTGTTTTTTTGTGGCAGAATCACCAAGAGATTAAAATTCAAGTTAATTAAATATTCAAATCCTTGATTACTAAAGTTCATCTTTGTGCATTGTTAATCCGTTTAGGACATCACTGTCACCTACCCCTTACCTTTACAGACTGTACATACTGTTTTTCTTTTCCTCAGGAGAGATTTATAGTTGTTCGGGAGCCTAATGGAACTCTTAGGAAGGCGACCTGGGAGGAGAGAGACCGGCTTATTCAGGCCTACTTCCCCAAGACTGGACGCAAGATCACACCACCTGTCCTCTTCAAAGACGCGAACCTCAAGGTAGGAGATGGTCCTTTCTTCCAGCTCGCTTGTCTTTGTTTCCTTTACTTTGTTTTTCGTCATATACATTTTCACAGGAGTCACTCCATTAGGAACACTTTAGCTTCTCTGTTAAAAAAGGCCTAATTTTGGTAGCTTTTGATCAGCTCCTCTATTTCTTTCTTGCATTGAATTGTGACAGAAACAAGAGTGTTTGTACACATACTGACTCTTTAAGCTGCGACTGTATCGTGTGCTTAAAATCTCTGACAAGAATGCAGCATGAAACTGGGGCAGCAGATACTTTGACTTGCCTTTGTACTGAAACGTGTAATTAATAGCGTTAATTATGACTATATCACATTTGTGTCAGCCGATTCCAGCGTCCCTTTATTGTGAAAGATGGCTCACTGTCACAGCACTTCAATTAACAGAGCCACCATTAGTGTGATTAATTGTACTGGTAATTTTCTTCCTTTGACATCAGCAAGCCAACATATAGATCATCTTTACTGTTGTTTTATTGCCAGTTTTATACACTTAGTAACCAATATATTACTGCTATAAGCCTTGAGGCGATGCCACACTTGCACACATCAGAGACAACAACCACACATTTAGAAAAAGCGTTAACATGCTACAGCATTACGGTGTCTCGTCTCTCTCAGATTTATTCAGCTTTCTTAAAACTGGGATAAGTAGCTGGTGCAGGTTCCTGGCAGTGACCAGGAAGTGATATTTTCAAGACATGAACAACATAACCAGAAGTAGTGAGCATGTAATATAATTTAAAGATGGCGCTAGAAGCTGTTTTAGCTGAAATGCGAGCCGGGATGTGGTGTCAAGTCAGGTTTGTGAACACCCACGTAGTCCCGAGAAAAGGTCAAACTGTGCCAGATAACTAAGAACACGTGTGTTTGTGCGCAGCGAGTATCATGAACGTTTCACTTCCACTTTTTTTTACCTGGTTCTACCTCTGTCTGTGTATTAGACGGTGTTTTCCCAGGACCGTCATGAAGATGTGTTGGACCTGTGTCTGGTCCAGTTTGAGCCAGACTCCTCAGAGTACATCAGGGTAAGTTGACGCTGAGCTTCCTGTTATTCTGACCCGATCACAAACTGCACTGAGATCTGTATGTTGTATAGAGCTTGTTAAACCGTGAAATTTTCCCCGTCACAATCTGTGTATTCTTTCCTTCATTCTGTGTGGCGTGTAGACTGTGATCTACCAAATAGGAAACTCCCTTTGAGGTCTGTTGAATCATATTTGTTTTATGTGCCTGGTGTTCAGGTCCATGCAGCCACATATGAGGACTTGGACAAACATGGCAAATATGACCTGCTGCGCTCCACCAGACACTTTGGAGGCATGACCTGGTACCTGGTCAACGCTCGCAGGGTGGACGGGCTCGTCGTGGACATGCTGACGAGACAGCTGTGAGTTTTTGTTTGTGCTGTTTTTACACTGAGCTTCACCAGTCACTGGCAAAGAGTTTGGATCTAAGCCCTCAGCGTGTGTGTGTGTGTTTCCAGGTTTCAGGATGCCGTTAGCCTCGTGTCTCTGTTCCACATGGTCCACCCCCACAGTGAGTCAGCTCAGGAAGCTGCCAGCCAGCAGGCCGCTGACACCGACCTGCTTAAGGTGAGAACAGCTCCGCCACAACTCAGGATATCTGCTGAGTCATCGCTCTGTGTGACGCCCCGGTTAGTTTTGCTGTGTGTATATTATGTGTTGCCATTTGAACCAGGTCGTATAATTCGTGCTCCCCGGACAATCGGGAGTCAGCGTAGCTCTTAAGAGGTCGAGTCGAGGCCGTCTCATCTAAGGTTTCCTGCGTGAGAGGTTTGGGTTTTTCCCCAGCGTGGGAACCGCGGGGCCGAGCCCAGCATACATCAGGTCTTATTAGTGCTCACAGCCCGTTGGCCTTGAAGCAGCGGGGAGGGACACTGAGAATGACAACCATTTAATGTGAACAGTTAGCGGCTGGAGACACGGGTTTGTGTCCGTCTGCTTCAGTCGAGGCCTCTCGTTTAGTCACGGTTGATTGGTTGTGTTTTAGTGAGTCTGCTGCTGATGCTGTTAATGCTGTACGACTGTTGTCTAACTTCAATGTAATTTTGATTGATCTGTTCTCCTCCATTTTGCTGACCTCTGACCCTCGTCCCTGCAGATCTACGCCCAGAAGGAGTCCCAGAAGTCGGGCTACATCGAGCTGGCTCTGCAGGCGTACGAACAGACGGCCGCTGAGGGCTCTGCTGCCTGACCGGCTCGCACGTACGCACAAGTATAGAAATTCATCCACAATGAGGAATGGTACCCAGAACCAGAGGCACAGAATGGAAATTGCCTCCCATTTGTAAAACATGACAGCTTCTGTTCTTTCCCTGAGCGGGTCCAAAGTGAAATGTGCATCTTTACTGAAAGGAAAGCTTCACAGCCATCAGTTTGAAGAATTAACTCTGGAAACATCTTGCACAATGGTTCAAGATGAGAAATGTTTTATCATTTCTCACGGAGAGGAAATGTCTACATGTGAGTCAAACTTTATGTGTCAACTTATATAATGTACATAACAAAATAAAGACAGTCTTTGTACCCGAGTGTGATGTTGTTGAAGGAATCCTGGATAACAAAAGACATTCACAGTAGCATCCTTTGTTGTTGTTGTTTTTTTAAAATTTATTTAAAAGGAGAAGGAGGAAAACACAAAGTCAAAAAAAGCAACTGGAACAAGGTTTTAGTTTATTTAATCTAGGAACAGCACTAGGTTTTGACCTCGGGTTTGAGAGGTAAACATGCAACAAAAAGCTAATAAAAGCCATGAATAGAACCAAATGAGGGGTTTGTACGACTTCTGCTTGTTAAAAATTTAGGAATTTACATTATATATTTTTAAAAAATGGTGGCATTCAGAGGATTTGCCCTGCATAGACACATATAAAATGCTGCTCAATGGCTTTGACGACACCCTGATCAACAGTGGTGCTATGAGGTATCTGGAGTCTTTTTGTTTTAATAATGTGGTCGTTGCTGTCACCGAGTCGAGCTTAATCCACTTAGGAATGAGTTACAGGCAAACCCCAATTATTTACGTGAAAATACAAAATGAAAACAGGTCAGTAGGAACAGCCTGCAGTAATCCCTGTTTGTTCCTTGTTTGCTTTTACTACTGAATGGGTTTAGATGGGGCTTAAATGCAGCCTGACCTCTTCAGGATGGTCAGTGTTTGAAGTGTCATTTGTACAAGTTTTCCTGCAGTAGCATGAACGTGGGAATCCCTGTTCTTATTATAAATGACCACTTTGGCCCACAAACGAGGAGGAGGATGCTTGTTCGTTAACAGGCAGCGTGGCGTGTCGACATGAGTGATGGCCCTTTCTCTTATTTGGTCACTTAGGAAAATGGCTTGCTGAAGACTGTGCTTTTTCTAATCAACCAGGAAATCCTCATCTAGGTTGACATCTGAGGTGTCGATGTCTTCCAGGTCAAAATTGTCCAGATCCAGATCATCCAGGGCCTGCAGGTGGAGATGTGATTTTGCGTTAAAGGCATTTGCAGTTCTAGAATAACATTCATGCACATATTAGTGAAGTTTTGCCACAGGCTGCGTACCTCGTCATTCATCTCTCCCTCCAGGTCCTCTGCTGCTTCCTCAGATCCCTCAGGACCTGCCTCCTCTTCCTCTTCTGCAGGAGCTGCTGCGGGGGATGAAACCTCTGGCTCAGCCTGTGGAGGAATCGCAGACTCCGACTTGCCCTCCGGCTTCACCGGGAGTGCTGCGGTTTGTTCCTCTTGCACTAATTCTTGTGTTGGAAGCGGCTTCAACACTGGTACCGTATCTTCAAGTGAGTCCAGCAGTGGATCAAGGGCCAACTCTGAAAAAGTTTGGACCGGAACAGGTTCATCCAGCGCCGGACTGTCAGTGGTTTCAAACGAGATGAGCTCTTCGACTGCTACCTGTGATGCTTCTGGAGCCAGTTCCTCAGCGCCAGGAGTCTCTTCTGCTGCTGCGATGTCTATCAGGGGTGGAACTTCTGAGGAGATCAAATCTGTTACCAGGTTGTCGTTACTGGTCACTTCACTCGTTGCAAATGATTCTGGTGCGATTAGAGCATCATCTGTGCTACCCAGCAGATCCTCTGCTGCTGCCGCTGGCTCACCGGGTGCTTCTTGTGTTGACATGATGGTTTCTGTTTCAGGAACACCGACGGCAGGTAGAGCTTCTGTTGACGGAGATGTTTCCTGAACGTCGATCTCAGCGGATGATGCAACGTCTTCCACAGGACTGAACTGGACCACCTCTGGCTCTGCAGCAGGAATCTCAATGACGGGCTCCTGCAAAATGTCTTCCTCTGCAGAGACTAAAGCCTCCGGTTCAGTCATGGCGTCCTCCTCCTCCTCTGCTTCCACCTCACAAGGCTGTGCTTGTTGTGGCTCAACATGCTCTTCTGTTGCAGTGACAGGAAGAGCGGCTGCTGCTGTTGGAACAGATGCTTCTTGTGGTACTGAAACAGGGTCAGTGGACTCCTGGTTTAGTGGAATGAGCTCCTCCACCACTGCTGCTTCTGAATGTGCAATTTCTGTCACTGCTGATACAACGAGGGTTTCACTCATGCTCTCCACCGTTTTCTGTACAAAAAAAAAAACACATGAGGGTTAAGTTCAGCCTCTCGCAACCACAGAAAAATCTTCCATTATCTGTTTCTATTCAGATTCAGTGTCGGCGTATTTCAAGAAATCAGGACCCATTTTCACTCAAGAGATGCACAACCTTGCTGTTTCTATCTGTCAACGTTGTGGCCTTTTGTCATTCAGACACAAGTTTTTTTTTTTGTTCTTATGTAAATGTATGCAGTGGGTTTAATAAAACAAGACGGGACATTTTACAGAAAGAACACGCAGAAGCACAGAGTGTGAGAGAGGAGAGGGGCAGTGCAGAGAACAGTTGGAAAGAATTATATTGGACAAGTGTTCTCAGCTCTTGCACAAGCTGAATCGGTGAAGGACTTTAAAAGCTATTTTTCATTCTGAGCACAAAGAACACCACTCGTACTTCTCACAGCGAATCCATTACTGAGTCTTCTCATCAGTTTCATCATTTATTAGCTGCCTAATGTCTGGAGGTGCACATAAGAATGAGAAGACGGGAATTTAGGACTCAGGGCGGACATTAAGTTGAAATTATAGGGAGGGTCGGACGGTGTGATTACAGCTATTATTGTGTGACGGTTTCTCTTTACATTCAGAGGAATGGAGGGAGGCAGGACA